CATGGGCAGAATTAGTGGAAATGGGAAAATGATGTCATTATAGTTTAATTTCAAAAGCTTAAAAAATGTCTAAAGAGCATGAGGATATCAGTGCTCTTTCATGTTGTAAAAACTATAAAAGAAATAAGTAAGGCATATGGTGTCTTTTTAAACACCTCAAGAGATCACATGCACATTAGATTTACTGAGATGTTATTTAGACAACTATTTCTCACTAATTGTTTCCTTCTTGGTGAGGAAAGTGCAGCTGGTGCCTACACATCTCTTCCCATTATTGTTTTAACCTAAAAATCAAATGATAGTTAAGCCTCTTCTTCCTCCCTCCCTTCTTCTCCCCCTCCACCCCTCTCTCTCTTCAGAAGCCATCTGAGAGGGATTTCCCACTGTAAGCACCACTCCAACAGGAAACAGGAACCACAGTTCCTGCAAGTGAATCCTGGGCTCACCACTCTCAAGTCCAGCCTTCAAAACTAAAATGGGGAAAAATGAGGAAGAATCGGTGGACTTAAACTCTGACAATTTAAAATGGCCTTTGTTCTGGCCTCCTGGATCCCTGTGTAGGGCTGTAATAGGCAGGACAGAACATGATCAGATGTGCCTGACATTGACTTTTTTATGACAGTAAGAAAAAGGTCTAAACTGCATCATGAATGTTATCGATGTGAATAGAAAGGACCAGTACTGCAAGAAAGGGACAACAAAAGCTGTAGACTCAGAGACATTTCTGATAAAAAGGAAATTATTTTGGGTAAGAAAGGATTTTGTATTCTAGGTTAGTTTGAGAAGTTTGCCTTAACATAAAGGAGTATTCATAGTAGAAATAGAGACTAGGATAAAGCTAGACATTAAAAGCATGTCATAAGAAGTTCTGTGGAAGGTAAAAAACAAGACACCAGGCAATGGTGGCGCACGCCTTTAATCTCAGCGCTCGAGCAGCAGAGGCAGGTGGATCTCTGTGAGTTCAAGGCCAGCCTGGTCTACAGAGTGAGTTCCAGGACAGGCTCCAAAGCTACACAGAGAAACCCTGTCTGGAAAAACAAACAAAAACAATCAAGCAAAGATGAGGAAGAAGGCCCAGCGGTTGAGAGCACTGGTTGCTCTTCCGGGGACTGGAGTTTGATTCCCAGGGCTTCGCTGTGCTCACATCTCCCACTCCAGTTCCAGGGTCTCCAACACCCTTGATTTCTGGCTCCTGGTGCACAGACATACACACAAGCAGCCCCACCCCGACAAACAAAACAACAGGAACAACTAACACAAAAACGGGCGTGTGTTTATGAAAGCACGCTAGAGAGTCTGTGTTTTGAATGATGCTTGCTAACAGTTGACAATGAAAAAGCCAGACTTTTAGCTAAGAAACTGGAGCAAAGTCCCTGAAAACATCAACTTCTCCACATTTCAACTGTTGCCATGCCACCTTCCAAAGCATGTGTGGCTCTGGGGCCTCCCACGGTGCGGTCAGTGTCACAGAGTAGACTCAACACCCTTCTGACCAAAGTTTAAGGGGTAGTTTACTTGGACACATTATTGGATCAGAATTTTCAGAAATGATTAACAGAGTTGTAGGAAATTAATTTTGATAAACTATTGCATGTGTAGAAAATATGATAACACTGATCAGATATGTCCATATCAGGAAAAATAAACTGGATTTTCATAAGAAAAAAATTATCAGACTCAAGAGTCAAAAATCCCATTTTTGATCAGATGTGGTGGCTCATGCCTTTAATGCCAGCAGAGGCAGGGGGAATCTCTGTAAATTCAAAGGCAGCCTGGTCTGCAAAGTGAGTTCCAGAACAGCCAGGGCTGCACAGTGAGACCTGGTCTCAAAATCACAAAAACAAACAAACCAACAAAACCCCCAACAACAACAAAAGCATTTTTGATGCACTTTATCTAAGAGCTATACAACAGCTACATTTTAAACCATAGCCAGGAAAACAGACCCAAGAATTTGCTGGGAACAACCAGACCAAGAAAAGGGTATAACTCCCTCCCCTGGACCTCATGGCCACAAGCCCACATCTGACCGCCTGTGTGCATCAAGGGCCTGCAGGCAGTGAATTCTTGATTGTCCTGTGACTTCAGCTCTGCTGGGTCCGTGCTACTGATGAAAATCACCATCTGTCATCCTCTGGGTTGAGTTGAGTCCAAGAAAGCAGGCAGGTTCAACGAAGGAGGGCTATAAGCAGTTTTATGGGCTCAGAACAGTGAGAGTACCCAGAGCGCCAGGGCAAACAGGGTTAGGATTTGGGCTGGGAACCTCGAAATGGGAAAGGGAAAGAGGAAAAGGAAAAGTCACGCTTTTTCTGTGCTAGAACTCAGAAAGGTGGGTAGGCTCAGCAAGCAAGGTGTTTGAGTGACTGTTGGAGGGAGTCTGTGTACACACATAGCTTTTAGGGGGATAATTATGTCTCCCAACTTCTTAATACATATTTAGCCGAAACAGCTTTGCTGAGATATGGCATCCTGTCCAGGACAAGCCCACTCAGATTAACACTCTAAAGAAAGGGGCAATAGCATATTTTTGTAATTTTATCATCTTTTGGGCAATTTAGAATGAAGAGTTGAAAGGGAAATGAGAGGCTTGAGTGAAATAGAGACTTCTAGCCTCAGGCAAACATGATTTGTGGGAAGTGGTGGCATCTAGGGTCCCAGAGAATCACCTACTAAAACCACTGCAGGCTAATGGCTTCTAGAGTCTTTGTCACATGACCTCAAATAATGAATTTCACAGTCAGCAGAAGGAGGAGTTTCAGAGAGAAGTTTAGAGCAGGCGAGTTTAAACAAACAGAGCCACCATATAGCAAGAGCAGATCCCTGAGAAGGGGTGACCACTGAGGGCCCCAATCTAGATTAACAAGTTTTCACTGGACAGAGGCATGGGGATGGGCAGTCCAGTTGTCCCCACCACAAAACACTCATGCCCCTCTCCATCCTGGTGTCTGGACTGGAGTTTTGCACACATCAAGGCCAACAAAGCATCTAACTACGTATAACGTCTGAGCAGCAGCACTCACTAAGTAGCTGTACGAACAGAGAACCACAACAGGAAAGCAAGGCTAAGCCAGTGCCCCTTAACATTTTGGGTAATTCTGGCACCTAGGCAGGACAGAACTGCTCATAGAACCAAGGACATTTCCGGCTACAGGCCAAGACAGGACCTACCTCAGCTTCCTGCCTTCCATATAATGCTCTAAATCTCAAAATGATTAACAGGGATGCTGCTCATAAAATTGCTCTTCCTCACTATCTTAGTTTCATTTCTGTGACAAAAAGACACTTAGGGTGAGAAATCTTATTTTAGGCTACACCCACAGTTCACTGATTATCAGAGCTGTGGGTTAAGTTTCCTGGTGTGGGAACGCCCAACTCAGTGGGGGTAACATTTCCTAGGCATGGGGTCCTGAACTATACTCATAAAAGCAGAGAAACCGAGGCGGGCACAGGTAAGCAAATGAAGGTAAATATGGTCACGCCTCTCTGTCCCTATGGCCCCGCTTTCCCAGCTGTGATAGATGGGCTCTCAGGGGAGAGGGCAGCATTGCGTTCATATAATCTTTTTGTTTCCATCCAGAATCAGGGGCACAATTTAGATCTCCTTTTGACCCCAAGTCCTGCAACAGTGTAGATTCAAGGGGAGTGGCCAGGGTCTTTCCTTAACATTCAGAAAGCAACCTACCCAGCCTTTTCCTGTTTCCAAACGAAAGGTGTATCTGAATTGCCTCCTTAGTATAAGGAGCCTCCTTAGTATAAGCAGGTAAGCAACTGACAAGTCCCTGGAGCCTGGCTCCGGTGAGCAAGCCCCTAGTAGGGGTTCCAGCCATTACTCCCTCCTGCTCTCCTCCGGTTACAAGCGGTCTCAGAAGATGCGGTGGAAGATTAACTGAAAGAGGGACTCCAGGACACGTCTGTCATGACGGAGTGAGACTTCATGGAGACGCAGCTTCTCTGGGGTTATTCACGTCTCTGTAGGAGACCATAAACTCCCTGCTCACCAGGATGAATTGGGTGGGACTGGAACTTGTGTCTACCGCTGATGTTGCCCGTGAAATGTTAAGTGGCCAGGTGCCTGCTGTCTGCTGGCCCTTATATCACCTGCACTTGGCTATGCCTGAGCGGATGCCTAGGGAAGCACATCAAGGGGTCACAGAGAAATGCCCCGCTTTCTTTCTGGTGTTGGTGGTGAACAGGGTCTGTTTGCCTCATAGACTGCTGGGTAACAAGGAGGGGCGGATGTCACGGTACTAGGGTGGAGGAACTGGACAACCTGGGCCCTGGAGTTGGGCGTACCCATGTGGAACTGACCAGAAATAATGGCTGGTACTTCGTAGAAAGAAAGAGACTCTCGTTTCTGCCCTGTGGCTTCCGTCAGGAAAATCTTCCTGAATGTCAGAGCCTCTGGCCTCCTTCCCTTTGGAGACTTGCCTGCTTGAGTGGATGCGTTCAAGCCCGCTGCTTCTGGGTTCTTCTGTGGGACTGAGCTGTTCCTTTGCTGTTCTTTCGGGCTCATCTTCCAGCTCAGGTCCCTTTGTGTGGGGCACCCTGACCTGGCCCTCAGGTGTGGGGATACACAGCATGCCAACTGGACTGCCAGGGAGCACCAGCATGTCGTTTCTTTATAGAGGTTGTAGAAGGCAGGGTCTCCCCACTTGGTGCAGCAGCAGGGATGCTGAGGTCAGTTATCTTCTGCATAAAACTGTCCTGGGCCGTGGAAAGCACCTCTGGTTCTAGCCACAAGATACCAATAGCACCTGACGCCCCAGATGTCACCCAGACACATCAGACACTGCCTAATATCTCCCACTCCACTTATAGGTTAGCTCTGAAAGGTTGGGGCATTACGCTGGCCTGCCCCTGTGACCTGGCAGAATGCACTCAGGCAGCACTCTGGCCAGCCCAGGGTTCCATGAGAACCAGTCTGCGCGCAGGTGCAAAGGACCCCTTTAAAGGACAGACCCCGCCCACTTACGCTTCTGGTCTTCCGCTCTCTCGCTCATCTCGTCCTCTCTTATTCTCATCTTTCTCTCTCTGTGTCCCATCATCTCTTCTCTCTAACCCCCCCTCATGTCTGTCTCCCCGCTTTCAACTATGGTTGACATGCTCTCCATGGCTTGTACTCCGTCCATCGTGCTGGTCCTTATTCCATAATTAACAACAAGCTTTTGGCTCAGGACTCTCACACTGTGGGTACAAAACCCTACTAGGGGCTTGCTCACCGGGGCCAGGCTCCAGGGACTTGTCAGTTGCTTACCTGCTTATACTAAGGAGGCTCTGAGCCATGGCAATTCAGTTTGGAAACAGGAAAAGGCTGGGTAGGTTGCTCTCTGAACGTGAAGAAATGACCCTGACCACTTCCCCCAGCTCCTCTTCCTAGCACCAGCATGGTCCACCTTAATTGCTGTGCAGAACTGGGTCACCCTGGTCACTAACGAGCCTTGTTAACTATTATTAGTCAGTAAATGTGTTGGCCTGGAGGAAATATCTACTGGAAACCCTTCCCCTTCAGGATACTCACTGGGAGGAGCTAAGGAAGGTAATTCATAAACTGACGTATTTATTTCAGCCCACATCTAGCTGGAACTTCCCAGCGTGCCTGCAGCCTGGTCACAGAGAGAATGTGAGGAGAGGGTTAGGGTGGGCTGGGGGAAAGCACAAGGAAGGGTCCTCAGGGTACAGCTGTGGGTGGAAGCTGGGATCAGGAATGGAAATCTGGGTGGGTGGTGAACAGGAGAATTAAGGCAGACACCTATTCCTTGGGGAAGCTGTGTAGAGGGTTGCCCGGAGGGAGGCTGGATGCCTGAGCCACGTCCAGGGCACGGGAGAGCCCCAGGGACATGATTAGGGGGTGCTATTGAACTGCTCCAACACCTAAGGTTTGTCTCTTGCATCCCTTCTCCTAGGATGAACAGTTCCCATGCTATGAAGACCTGTGTGCTCATCCTGCTTGTGACCCTACTGTGTGCAGAGAGAGGTGAGACAGAAAAGGGTCTCAGAGCTGTGGGAACACTTGTGTGCCCAGCACCTGATGTGTGCAGGGGTCAGGGGATGCCCTGTGCAGATGGCCTTGTGGTAGGTGAGCCCTCATGTGATGGGGTGGCTCCCTGGGCCTGTAAACCCGTCAGAACCTGCTTCGAAGCTTCTGCCATGTGTAACATAAGTAGGGTCTTGGAGTTCACTGCCCGCCCCTGCCCGCCTCCCGTGTACAGTGGTCCCGCACTCCTCAGAACCCATTACCTCAGAAGGAATAACCACACCCTTCTGCCTCTCTCTTATTTCTTTCTTGAGACACTAAGGGCGCCCTGTCATCAGAGAACTCTGATGCCTTTGCCTCCCAGCCAGGCCACTGGTCTGAATGTGCACAAGCCGCCCAGTTGCCGAGTTAAGGGGTTTGGCACCCTCAACGTTTGGCCTTCCTCACATTATTATATTTGGCCCTGTCTTAACCCCCAACCCAGCCACACGGAGACCCGGTTCTAGAACTCCCTTATTCTAAGAGGTTCTGAACCCTTAGATACCCCTGTAATTCTAGTTGCATCTGTATTGTGGGAGGTCTCATGGCGAACCCTGACTTTGCAGCTGCCTTCTGGGAAGTCCAGTGTCTTGTTATACTCCAAGACCCAGGAGCCGGCTCTGCAGGTGTAGGGTGGGACAGGTCAGAGCAGCCCTCCCCGTCAGGAGGCCCTGGTACTTCTCCCCCACTCCCTCACCATCTCAGCAGACAGGAGGCCCGTGTCCTCCTGCTCTGGCGACTGTTTCTCTAGTACCTCTTGGGGTCCAGGCCTCTCCTGTGGGGCTGGCTGAGTCCACAGTACCCAGCGTACTTGGAGACCTATGGCTCGTGGTTCACTTTTGCTGTTGGTGGAGGTGCCTGCAGAGGAATGTCCTTGCTCTGTCCTGTAGCCCAGCAGTAGTGGTGTGGAAGCAAAGTCCGGTGCAGAGGAGGAGTGTGGGCTAGGAAGGGCATCACTGACCCTCACGTATTGGTCTGGTTCTCAGTCCAGGGGTTGCGCTGTTACACGTGCTTGGGGATCGGGTCTGAGTTTTCTGAGAAAATTTGCCCACCAGTTAACTGCTCCAGCGCTGACGCGTCCTGCGCCTCTGAGGAGGTGGAAGCCATTGCAGGTGAGTTTCCTGTGACTCCTATGAAGATGGAGGGGGTGGCTTGGGAGGAAAGGTCCAGACACAGCTGGTTCCCCTCCCTCCAAGTAGGAGTTGGAGTGGGGCTCCTGTAGGGGAAGCAGGGTAGGGGTTGTGCCCTGGGGACCCAGGTATGTGCTGGGAGGCAGATGCTTGAGAAGGGTTACTGTACCTATGGCATGCATGGATGCCATCATCTCCCCTCCCCCACTAATATTAGTTATGTGGCACTCCTGTCCTTACTCTATGTGTAGGGTCTCGTGGGCTCACTGAAGGACCTGGAGAGCTGGGAGCATTCAGTGACTCTGCATATAATGGAAGAATTTAGGCTAAAGTAATGACTTGGGAATGCTGCTGGAAAGGAGACCTCAGGACACATTGGATCCCCCAAAGTGTCAGTGTGCAGACATATCCCGACAGACAAGGAGGAACAGCCCTGCCTTGCTATCCAGTTTCCTGCTCCTTTCCCCAGCCGGGCAGTTTCCTGGAGTAGGACAGGCAGACAGAACTCCCTGGGGGAGCAGTCCTTCCTGGCTGCCCTTTCTGCTGCGTCACCGGGTGACCTTGCACTGCGTGTCTTTGTGTGTGAGGGGTGCATGCTTAACTTTGAGTGTGAGTGCACACATATGCATGCGTGTAGAAGCCAGAGGACATCCTTATGGGGTTTGAAACAAGGTCTCACTCTAGCCCATGCTGGCCTAGAACTCCCCATGTAGCCCAGTTGGATTTGAATTTTTTGTTTCTTTTGGTTTTAAGAGACAGGGTTTCTATGTATTGTTTTGGAGGCTGTCCTGGAACTTGCCCTGTAGACCAGGCTGGCCTCGAACTCACCAACGCCAGGCTAGAGTTGAACTCTTAACAACCCTTCTGCCTTAGTTTTCCAAGTTCTGGTGTGAACCACCATGTGTGGCTTCAGTGTGCCTTAGAAGCAAGGCTGGGCCATGTAGGCCTGATGACATGCACCCCAGACTTTGGGGGTGCGGAGCTGTTCCTGGGTGCCCTGTGAGGCCACTCCCTGGTGTCTTGCAGACTCTTACATGGTGAAAACGAAGAGCAAGTACTGCCTTTCTTTCTGCCCCAACAAGACTTATGTTGCAAATATTGAAATACCGGGTATCACCATCATCAGCAAGCTTTCCTGTTGCAACGAAGACCTCTGCAATGCGGCAGTTCCCACCGGGGGCAGCACCTGGACCCTGGCCGGGCTGCTTCTGCTCAGCCTGGGGTTAGCCCTCCTGCAGGCCTTGCTGTGAGGGTTCTTCCTGCTGCTCCCGCCCTGGCCTTTGTATCCCAATGTGTGATCACTCCTTCCTGGAGCCCTCTAATGATGAGCTGTGAGTTATAAAATCCCTGAGGTGGGGTTCGGGTGTGGGTCATCTGGCTTCGACTTTACGGTCCCTGCTGGGTGGGTGCCCCAGGTCCTTCAGGTCTGCGGCTCCAGCATGCCATCTTGTGGCTTACTGTTCTTGGCCCTGGAGGCATGTGGACAGTGCTGGGAAGGTGTAGGGTTCCATGGGATTGTGCCGCCACATAAATCTCTGGGCCCCTGCAGGCTCCCACACACCCCGAGCAAAGCCTCCCCAGTTGAATCCAATAAACCCTTCGTACTCCCAGCCAAGAACTCCACTTTCTTTTTGCCCCTGTGAGTCCACCGGGACCTGACTGCTGCCCCACATCTCTGCTCTTTCAGCCAGCCCCATAACCATCTCCTGTTACCCAGCTAGGGGTGGGATACCCCTTGGTGTGGATGGGCTTCCCCGGGTTCCTCCATTCCCCAAGAGCACTTGCTTGTGCTGGGGAAGGGATCAGCCAAGGAGATGAGCCCTCAATGGTGGATAGGTGTTGCCCAGACATGTTTTTAGTTCAGAGGTGGAAGCCATTTACTGCAGGGGCTCCTGGGCTGACTCAGAGCAACGAATCCCTCACCCTGCCTCTCCTGGAGTCCCTCAGCGGGAAGACCTGATTTGGCACAGTGGGACAAGCAGGGAGCCATCATTGCTCTTTTCTTTTGTTCTTGAGAAGTCACTGCCAGAGACCACCAGAGTGCTCATGGTTAACACTACGGGAGTCCTCATGGAATATGGGCAGCACCCTGGAAACTGTGAATCTTATGCCCCACCCTTGAAGGTCCTGAAGAGCTGAGATTTTGTCAAGGTGAAGACCCTTAAGGAAGAGATATTATGCCAGGCGTTGGTGGTGCATGCCTTTAATCCCAGCAATGGGGAGGTAGAGGGGGGCGGATCTCTGTGAGTTTGAGTTCCAGGACAGGCTCCAAAAGCTATGGAGAAACCCTGTCTCGAAAAACCAAAAAAAGAAAATAGAAAAAAAAGGAAGAGCTATTACCCAGCCAGGGAAGCCCTTGTCCTTGCAGCCCCCTGCCCCAGATAAGCATAGACCCAGGAATGCGGCCCAGGCGCTGGTTGGGAAATGCAACTTGAGTAGGGATTATGCAGCTGTCTTCTTTGACCTCTGCCTCCAAAGGGCTAGGTTTGTAGGTGTGTGATACCTCCCAGGTTATTCTGTGTGTTTTAGAAGACTGTGCACTTTAAAAACCATGAGGTTGGCACATGGGGGGGTAGGTGTTTATTTGTTAGTTTTTTTGTTTGTTTGTTTGTTTGCTTGGTTGGTTGGTTGGTTTTGTGACAGGAACTCACTAGTGGACCAGGAGGCTGGCATCTGTCTCACAGAGATCTGCCTGCCTCAGCTATTCGAGTGCTGGGATTAAAGGCATGTGCCAACCACGCTGTATGCCTTTAAACATTATCATGTGGTCTAGAGATCATTCTTATGATATTTTGGTGAGGAGTGTGGCTGTTTTTTGCCCTTGTCTGAAAAGTCTACCTGAGGCTGAAGTGAAGAGATTTAGATTAATTCCATTGACAGAGGAAATCTCAAATGCTTACCAGTGGAACTTTAATGAAGACATACAATGAAAAGGAGCAAACTGAGCAAGAGAAAAAAATATTTGAGGAGCAAAAGAGCGCCAGGATTTGGAATGGAGCTAAATTCTTTGTTCAAGTAGATAAAACAGATTAAGATATGGAATAAAGAGAGTGGCCACCTCAGGGCAAGATCCCATCCCCCTAAATTTCCAACTTGTGAAAGAGAATTAAAGAAAAGCTTAGAGCCCAGTGTGATGGTGAAGAGTGGAAACTCCAGATCAGCCCTTCCCCCAGCCTCAGCTCCTGGAGACTGTGCTGTGTGCAACAGACCTAGGGCCAAAACTGAACACAAAGGACTCCAGACCCCCAGCCTCCTAGGTACTTGGATCCTGGGGACTGTTTGACTCCCCTGTAGTCTGAAACATATTGGTACAACAGGCCAGCTGCAAGCCACAGAAATCACAGAATGTTCCCTCCCAGTACCAACATTTGAGAAAAATGGGTACACAGGTATTACACACAAAAAACATGATTTTGAAAAATTTCTTGATTGTTCCCCAAATGTCAACCAATCAGAAACCAACGTGTGCCTTCTGATGTAATCCTGTAAGTTTTGCCTTAAAACCTAGCAGTAGACAGGGAGGTTCACCCCCTCTGGAGGCTGCTGGGTCAGCTTGCTAGCCGGGGCCCTGCTGCGTCCACTGCACAGCCTGTGTCCCAGAATGTGCGGAGGGTGTCGGGGATTGACAACACAGAGACTTGTTCAACGGTGTAAAGAAAACTTTAAGCAGGCCCCATTTTGGGCTCAAGAAAACTTCCCAAGAAAGGCCTCCCTCCAGAAAAGCTTCTGCTCTCTCTCTACCCCTGGCTGGTTCTGCTCTGACACCAGAAACTAACTGATTTGGGTGTGTCAGAAGAGGCGGTTAGTCTTTGGACAAGGTCGAGGTCAGGGAAGTTCCCGTGGGCCCCAGGCATTGTATTGTTTTTAGTAAACATGTTTTTAGTAAACATTGTCTTACAGCTGCCTACTCCCAGGCTGATGGGGATGTGGGTCCCTGCTCAAGGTCTGGTGTCCCCACAATTCCCCCTTTTTTATTTTCTAATGAGGCACTCCTGGCTTAGGTCAAGTAGGGCAACCCTCCCTTGCCCGTCTTTGGGGGACCTTGAACCCCTGTCTTAGGTGGGAGGGGTCTTCCCCACAGGTTGTCCGTCAATGGAAGAACCTCATCCTTAAATCATCTGTAACCAACCTTCATGGCTATTGGGATTGCCATGGGCTAAGCTAAGCAATACTTGGTTATGGATCTCTTGTCTCTGGAACAAGGCACGTTTGAGCTCGGCATAAAGCCAGAATGCGTACCACCACTGCCACCATTTCCAGGACCCTCAATGACATAGCACCTCTCTATCACTGTACCCATCACCAGATTTGGGCCATAACATTCTACCAGCCTTCCTCTGTTACAAGGGTAACCTGCATGTGATTTACAGTTACAATTTGATGGTCAAAACAGTGATAAAGTTTACAATCATTCTAAGATCTGCTCAGGAAAGCATTTAGAAAGTGCACGTGCACAGATACATTAGGCACAATTATTGATGTTACACATGTAGCATTATAAAAAATATGAACAAGAGGCTTGTTGCACTATCCACAGAGCACCAATTTGTTCCTGTGGTGATGCAGTTTGTTGATTTAATGTCACTAACCTCAGCGGAATATGTGACTTGAGCCAAAAGTCTCCTTTTTGTCGCATTAGGACAAGTTGCATTTCTCCAGAAAAATACACTGGCATAGGCGCGATTCCAGAAACAGGAACCACCAAGTCTGATATTTCAAGTGACCATGTCCTGTTCAAATACTGAAAAGAGACATTTGCCACTCATCACAGTCCATACCAATGTCCAAATGTTTTAAATGGGTCCTTTTTCCCCCAAAGGGAAAAACTGGCAAAATGAATTCTGTTGTTTCAAGGTGTGTCAAGGGCAGACAGTTAGTTTTTCCAGTTCCCTGTTGGCTTCGGGATGAAAACTCACGGGTCTGGAAGGTTGATGCAGCAGGCCTGTTGAGAAACTGGAAATCTCGAACCGACTGTTTTCCTTCTTTCTCGAGCTGTAGATTCGATGACATCAAGGGTCAGGAACACTGATTTAGGAGATCTCACTCAAACTGGCTTAGGTAGGCTCCCATGGTCTCAGGTCCAGGTTTTCTCTGCACCATGCATCTCACTAAATGGTCTGACAGCTGCCAAAGCTTTATTCTTTTCCTGCAAGAAAACACAAACATGCCCTCGACCCCAAATTAGGGTCTTCTCCACTGTCTAGTGCATGGATGTCTCCATTTGACCTGAGTAATAGTTGCTCAAGTTCCATCATGCCAGAATCTGTCTGAAGCAGATTGCTCACTGGCATTCACATTTTAAAATTTTTAAATGAGGAGTGTATTATTTGATGAGTCATGTGGCAACTGGGGACATTACTCCCCCTTTTTTATTTTCTAAATTTTTTTGAACTGTTGAAGCTGGACCATAACAGTAGAAGGATTTGTCTACCTCCTTGGTTAACTATCTAGGTGAATTGGGATCACTAACTAAATTATTTGTAGATGCCCTTTAAAAGGACATATCCATTAAGTATTTGCCAAAAACTTCTGAAAATCACTCAAAGATTGTAAACTATACTGTGTTCCAAATAACTTTTGAAATTTATTTGAAGTCTGTGAGTAATCTTTCCCAATCTAACCTGTAGAGCTCTCACTAGCTGACAAGGCCTCATTTGCATCTTGACTTTTCTGTTAAAACATTAACCAACTGGCTGGATGTTATTTTGGCGATATATAAAGCAATTTAGGTAGCTTTTCAACTATTTTTGAAGGGATTTAAGTATCCTTTTAATCATATAAGCAGTTCACACTCACACATTCACAATCACATTTCATATATACCGGTGTGGCCACACCATACATTCAGAACATACATGCATCTTTCGGTCATCCTTTTTCCCTAGGTCATGATTCGTCTGTTGAAATGAAGCTTCCTTAATTGAAATCTCTGTAACAGAACAACTCCAGCCAATCCTTGAACTAAAAAGGTTAAAAAGTCCTGTATGCCCTTCATCATTCCTCCATTTGAGCTACAGTCATGGGGTACAGCCATATCTATCCTTGTAACTCTGTAGATGCAAGGTGGAGAGGCCAGGATTTTGGCCAAAAGTTTTTAGAGATGACTCACAAAATTGACCTTAAATGCAAACAAAATTTTCCATTCCATATACCTTTTTCTTTTTCTTTTTCTTTTTCTTTACTTAATACCAGTACCTCATTTACTGTTACCAATTTTTTTGATTCACCCATTTTTTTTTCGAGACAGGATTTCTCTGTATTGTTTGTAGGCTGTCCTGGAACTTTCTCTCTAGATCAGGCTGGCCTTGAACTCAAGAGATCTATCTGCCTGTGTCTCCCGAGTACTGGGATTAAAGGCGTGCTGGGATTAAAGGCGTGTGCCGCCAACACCTGGCTATTCACCCATTTTCAATCCATCCTCCAACCCAGGATGTTCCCTCAGGCAAAAAGCCTTAAGATTTACAGAATCCACACTCCAACTGAGGGCAATCTCTCGGGTTCCCCTCTTTCCTGAACTTGGTGTCAGGATAAGGCCTAGAGATTTAATCTAGGAGACATTAAATATTTTTAATAAAACAGAGATTCCCCTTTAGGAGGGGGAAACTCATAA